ATGTATGTACAGTATATATAAGAATATATTTGTGTTTCTTGTGCCTTGATTTATGTTATGTTTGTAAAGATTTAATTTATTTTTGTTTTAGTTAAAGGGGTATCGTTTAAAATACATGAATTTGCAGATTATTATTTTTGATTGATTGATCACGTACATGTTCTTATTTTACAAATAAATCAGACGTTACTCAACAGTTACTCAGTACTTAAGTAGTTTTTTCACCAAATACTCTTTTACTCTTACTCAAGTAATTATTTGGATGACTAGTTTTACTTTTACTTGAGTAATATTGTTCTAAAGTATCAGTACTCTTACTTGAGTACAATATTTGGCTACTCTACCCATCTCCGCTCACAAGACGGTTTACAGTCTCAGAGTTTATTTGCACATTTCAAAAATAACAAAATCAGCCTGAAGAACGATGTGAAAAACTAACTCTAACCTGAAAAGGCTGGAGGCGGTCACTGTAGCAGCAGGTGTGGTGGTGGAAGCAGCAGCAGCTGCAGTTGTGGTGGTGACAGCAGAAGTTGCGTTGCTGGTCACGGCAAAGAAATTCGGCACAGTTAACTGCTGCCTGCCTTTAATCACCGACTTGTGATTGTCTGACAGCATGTGTGATTTCACCGCATTGACGCCCATTGTGCAAAGTTTGAAGATCTTTTTGCACACGCTGCAAAATGCCTCTCCGGGTTTACCGTCGACAGGCTTTAACCAGGTTCTGAACAGTTCCTCATCCAACCACTTCTGCTGAAACTTGCATTTTCCCATTTTTCCAACATTTGCCAATATTCCCTCCGCTCTTTCGCCACAGCATGAGCACGCTCACAGCACGTTGCATTCCAAGCATCCGGTGTTGTGACTTTGTGCACCGGCTGTAAACAATAGCCAATTAAAGGGTTCTGCTGTCAATCATCACATTATACTTCCGATCAAAATGATTAAATGTTTATATAATCAAAACAAATCATGAATAACAATGTTTTTTTCCATCAAGTCTATTTAATTTTTTAATGCCTCTGGACATCGAATTTAATGCTTTTTAATGCCATTTAAGCCCTTAATTTTCGCAAAATCTATTTAATGACTTTTAATGCTTTTTAATGACCCGCGGAAACCCTGTGACACACTGGTCCTTTAAATTAAAACCATTTAAAGGCAGATACATGGAGAAAAGTTTAAACAACTAAAATATTTAAAATACTAACATAAAAATGAACTGTGAGAGTAACGGTAACTGAGAAACGACAACAAACTACACAATCCAAAACTGTTTTGAAAACAGTAAAAGTAAAAACACTGTAACTTACTCATTGAGCTGTTTAGTGAGTTTGACAACCTGCGAGGCCAACGACATGCAGGTCTCCACGACGACCAGGTACCGAGCACAAGTGGTGTGTCCCTGTCGCTCGGCACTCTGGGACGGCCGCTCCCCCTGCTGGTTCTGCACCGTCACATTGGAGCCGTACTCCACCAGAGTCTGGACACAGACGTAAAGGGTTACTGCTCACACATGTTGGTGCTTGGATTTAAAATAATAAACATTATTATTGGTAACTCTGTGTAACAAAATGCTCTGCCCCACAGCACAGATCAGCTCTGCTCTGCTGAGAAAAAACTGCTTCTTTATCACAAACAGATCACTAACTATCAGTATTTTGATTGCAGGCCTGGCTCGCCAACAGGAAGCAGACAAGACCAATAACATCCTCCTCTCCTTCAGCAAGGAGAAAAAACACACTCGGCTCCCACTGCAGGAACATGAGCCCCACATTGTAAAACACATTTTTTTATAATTGATCTATGTTTTTTCATGATAAGCAGCAGCAAAGTCTGAAAAAATAAAGGTTCAGAACACTAAAATGTTGACATTTAAAATGCTGAAGTATTGATAAAGTGTGGTTATGACCATGTTCTGTGTTACTGAGCTGCAGGTTAAGAATGTTGGAGTGGCTGAGACAAACTAGAGGAAACAGCGATAACTGAGGTGGTAGTAATTGTTACTTTCCAGCAGTGCGCACACACCTGTATACATGTGAGGTGTCCGTACTGAGCCGCCACGTGGACGGCAGTGTTTCCATTCTGGTCGACTTCGTCCAGAGAGATCGCCTGCTCCTGCATGAACTGAAGCAACCACAGCAGCACCTTCTCCTGCAGAGACAGACGGACAGAGAGAGAGCGAAGGAGACGTTTTATTCTCAGGTCAACACATTATCCCTAAAACAAACACACGTATCACAGTATTACAGGACGGTATCATTTTCAATACCGTCAAAATACAGACACTCATCTTTCTATAAACCTCATACACCTCCAGAGGTCAGTGTGGTGCGAGAGGCAGCTGAGCTGACTTCAAGTAGTGGAGATGCCATGCCCGCAATATCAGGGAGAACACAGGGAAAACAACATTATCTTCATATCTAACTCTGTGAATTAAGGATTCATTTCAACCAAACCAGAGCTGGTGATTGTTGGAACAACAGACTAACTAACTAAAGGACTAACAAGACTAACCAAGACAGTTTTGCTGAGGTTTATTTTGAGTTAACGGGGTACTTAAACCTGATGTGGTTCAGTGAAAGAGAGAGACTTGAGTCCAAAACATGTGCGGTTGTATTTCTCTGTTTAACAAGTAAAATAAAAAAAGTTTTCCTTGTGTATCTATTATACTGGAAAAGATTAGAGAGTTTTGGTAATGCTTGCGACGCCTTTTTATTGTTGCCAGGCAATTACCCCATCATCTCCTTACCCCAACCTTCCTGTAAAATCAATCTTAATCAGTGTGTAGATGCTGCCATGTTGAGGCAGAGGGTGCTGTCTGTAGCTCTGGTTGAGGGTGAGAGGCTGTCAGCAGATAAACAGAGATCTGTGTGGGTACATGAGACCCTAAAAAAGAGGCTGGATCATGGGGAGTACCACCAGTTGGTCCAGGAGCTTCTCCTCCATAATGGAAGTTTACAGGCAAATTTTAGGATGACTCAGGGGCAGTTTGACAACCTGATGTCTATCATCAGGCCGTATAGCTCTGCATATCCAGCAGTTTCTCCTCCATTGTTTACCAACTGTAAACTTGTTGTCGTGACCACCACAGAAGACCCGCCTCTTAAATCATCACAATGGACAATGGAGAAAAAGATGACGTGGGCGCTTTTTTACTCTTGGTTTAAGGTTTTTTCAACTCGAGGAGTTCAGAGTGCTCCGGCAGAAACGCCAGGCACCTAGAGTGCAGAAATGCGAGGCATGTGGCAACACAAAGCAAACAGAAAGCTTCATTCTCATTAAAAACTGTTACAAATAGGTGCTCCAGCTGCTAAAACGCTTTCTGTGTGATCAGGGCCTTACGACATCGCAGGGTTCACTTCATTTGGTCCGACCCAAAGTGATCCATCCTTGCCTTCCAGTTCTGGCCCATATCATGTTCACACTGTATTTTACAAACAAACCCAGAGGAGTTAACATGGCGTCACATGACTGACAAGTAACTGACTGGACTGGACAGTTTAGGTGATGTTACTCTACAGCAGTGTTGCAGTAGATGGACCCATGAAGGAAAATGAAATTCAGATGACTGACAGCAGGTCATAATGTTTTTTAATGAGCCCCATGTGTTTATTAACCTTCTCTGGTGTCACTTAGAAATACTTGATTATGAGTACTATTAATTTAAGTCTGCAACAGTCAACAGTGACAAACAGACAGAAATTTGATTTTAAAGAAGTATTTTGTAGGGCTGTAGTCTCCTGGTCGACTAGTCGATTATTTGGTCGCTATGCTCTCGCCCGACCAAATTCTCATTGATTGAATAATCGCTGTGTTACTGTCATAAGGAGAAAAGTGCTACATCAACAACTTTCCAGGATTAATCCATTATTTCCTGCGGCGGGGGGAGAGGCTAAGTTACCTGTGAAAATGGGGGTGTTTTCAAAACATAAGAAAGATATATATAAGAAACAATAAATTGTGAAGACAGTAAAGCCTCCACTAAAACAGCATTTTAAGTCTTGTGTGTGATTTATCCTGGCTGAAATATGAGCAGAGGCTAATATATACAATGTAAAATGTCATAGGCTTGTGCTAATAACGTTAGCATGTTGTATTTGTTTGGAAAACGTGTTTAGTATAAGACAGTTGTTTTGTCAGTGAATGCTGTGAGTTGTAATGGAGCTGAATTATGTGCCGTTACCTTTGTTACATGTTGCTGTTGTCCCTGGTTTTATATGAGAAAAGGAAAAGATCACTAGACGCTAGGCTAATTTATACAATGTAAAATGCCATAGGCTTGTGCTAATAACGTTAGCATGTTTTATTTATAGTGAAGCCAGTTTGCGTACTTGTGTTTGAAATTGTCTCTATAAAGCCATGTTTAATGTGTGTTTAATGTGTGTTTTGAATCAACTATATGAATAAAGTTTGATTTGAACTTTACAGCACTTAACACAGTCTGCAGAGTGACACAGACACACCACCGCACAAGTAAAAATAACGTGCAGATTTTTTTTCCCACCTTGACTAATCGATTAGTTGAAGATTATGTGCGACTTCAGTCGACCAGGATTTTCTCTGGTTGACTACAGCCCTAGTATTTTGTCACATAATATAATGAGGAGTGGTTGCTGCATTTCATTTGTTTCATTCACTTTTTATTAGGAAAACAAACTGGGATTATTTGGCTCCCAGTAAAAACCTCCTGAGCAACAAACACTGAAGGAATTCTAACTGGGTGAAGTTTAAGGAGTTGCAATCTTCAATCCTCACCACTAGATGCCACTAAATCCTCCTAAACCTGACACACTGGGCCTTAAAAGAGGAAAATATATTTTTACTGCCTGATGCTCTGTTTGAGGTTGATGACTTCTGACAACACATGATGGAAAAATAAAACTGTTGGTTTTATTTTACACATTTCAGACTTTTCCAGACTTTTCAAGGACCGGTGGGTATTGCAGCTTGTTAGTGTGTATTTGTAATAAAGTGAAGAGTGTGTGTGTGTGTGTGTGTTTCCATACTTTACCTGTCCATAGCGAGCAGCGTAGTGGATCAGACTGGGATGTTCTCTGGTGCAGCTCAGCTCTGCGATGGCCTCCGTCTCACTCACCATCCACCTCACACACTCCAGATGACCGTTCTGCAACACACACACACACACACACACACACACAGTTAACACATACCAGTCAGGTCCAGGTGGTTTTAAATCTGTCATCCTGTTAATCTGAGTGAATAAACACAAGGCTTGTTGATAAGAGCCAATCAGGACTAAGCTGCCAGGCTTGTCTCGAGATAACACACTTCCTGTCTGGCAGCCAATCAAGAGCTGGGTTTCCACAGCAGGGCAAACAAAACAAAACCTCCTCAGTCGTTGCAGTGTGACCCATTTTGAACGTCTTGCAGCTGCCAACAGAGCTGATGGTAATGTTTCTTTAATCAAAAACCTCCATTCTAACACCCTATGACCTCACTGACCAGCTGCCGACGGCCAATCAGATGTCTGCATTTCCCTTCTAGTTTACAGATGTTTATTTTTCTTGAACATTTCCACCTGCAGGTGAAAAATGGAGGAAATCAAAAGCTAAGTTGACAATGAAGCTGCGCAACAAACATCCATTCGCATTTTTATTAAATGTATTAAATGAGGAAATGAAAATGATCTCTTATGGATTCTTTGAGCCACTTAAGCTTCTCATTTCTCTACACGTTACCCCCCACACTGGCCACTGTATTAAGTACAGTATATTGAAAGATGTTTCTAATATTTGACCCCCTATGAACAAAATAATGGAAACTCCTTTTAATATAATCCAGTAAAACGCCACCCACTATAACCTCCATAATAAACATAAAGTAGAATAATTGCCCATCTGACAGCATCAAAGAAAAATGTGAAAGCTTCTCAGACGTGTAACTCATAGCAGAGCTGCTCTACTGGATTATATGAGACTGTGTAAATGTACCTAATAAAGTGAGATTTGGAGGAAGTGTTTGATTTGTTTCACATTTCTTTTTTCAGAATTTCTACCATCTATGTGATCATCATCTCCCAGTGTTGGCTACTTTGGAGGGTTTGTTTTTCCAATTCAATTGGACAAAGAAATCTCCACTCAGACTTAACAACTGACACACTTGCAAACGTGGACACTTCAGAGCAGTGGTTCCCAACTGCTGAGTCATGGTCCAAAAGTGAGCCTCATGGACCGCAAGTGACTCGCAAACATGTCAAGTTTGTAAAAAAACACATTTCAGTTTTAAGTACAGTGAATTTCTTGCACAGAGCTTTTATTTTGAAGTGCAGTTTTCTGCTGTAGAGTGAGTGACTAACGGACAGCTACTGGACAGAGACAGCAAACTAGCTCTATGATGTGGCCAAACACAAGTATGACACTGAGTGTATTAATCTGTGTGGACCTTAAACTAATGACTGAGGAGAAATCTGGACCCAGTGGCTGCACCAGTTGGGATGCCCAACCCGTGCCTGACAGGAACTGTCGGGACCAGCAAGGCAGGGGTTGGAGGAATATTTGTAAATGATGTTCGGATTGGGTTCAGCTGACTAGACATGGTGCTCCAAGTTATTTTTAGTAAAAATATAAACTAAAACAAAATGATGGACCTACTGTCTGCTGTGATTTGTTTTTCACAAGGCATGGACACAACACAAACTACTTCAGGTGGTAAATATTCATGTAGCCTTGCCTGTATCGTGATTGGGTTGCTTGGCACATAAAAACACAAGGCTTGTTAGGTTTGGGTCGGGCTTGGTTACAGCTCTCTGGGACTCAGGTCAGGTTCAGACAGATATACATAGCCTGAGCTGCACTCTAGTGTAGGCCTGTCGCGATATGCAATATGTCGGTTAATTGCACGGTAAATTAAAAGGGAGACGGTAACTTTTCGGGCCGTGATTAATTGCCATATCCATGCGCGTTTGTTTTCCTCGTCTCTCTCCATCAAAGAGACTGGACGACAAGAGCGTTCACTGCCGTGCATCGTCTGGCAGCCAGGTGAGTTGGTTCATTAGCGTAATGAATGGAGGTAAAGCTCTTGTCATCGAGTGTCTTTGTCTCTGTGGGGGAGGCGGGGCTATGGGCTACACACACACACACACACACACACACACACACACAGACACAGTGCGATCGTCGTGAGGGGGAGACGAGGCGGAGAAAAAAAAGAGAGTTGAGCGTAAGAGAAAGACAGGGAACTTGTTCCTAAACCAAATTCCACGGCCCCTGTGTGGGAGTGTTTTGGATTTAACCAAATGACAGAGGGGAGCCCAGTAATTGTGCCGGGTTTGTTCTAAAACCATCTCAACAAAAAGAGCAAATATGATCAACTTAAGTGCACACCTGAGAGTGAGAGACTGACAGACTATTTCTTTGTATTTATTTATTTATTTTGATATTTTTACGTGTTATTTCGGATATTTAAATTTTCTTTTTTTGCATTCGTTAATATTCTTGTTAAATAAATGTTTATTTCTCTTTAAAAGGGTGTACGTGCATCAATATGCCTTTATTATCATTATATAAGTTTAAAAAATGGCACAATATTACACAATATCATCGCTTATCACAATAATTTCTGACACAATTAATCGCCCAGCAAAATGTGTTATCGTGACAGGCCTACTCTAGTGTACATGCATCCTTCGTTGGCATCACTAACATCAAGGCTGAAGCAATGACTCAATTTTAATAAAATGTCTCCTGATTAAATTTTCTGCCTCAAAGCTTAATTTCATCAGTTACATCACTATCACACGAGCTGAGGCTGTTTATTAAACACACAAGTTAAAAGCATTAAGTAGAGCTCTTTTTTTTGTAACGAGGAATCTTGTATTTCTTCATTATAAAGGAGACCTGGTCTACTTGATTCTCTCATATTTACGGTTGATATTTCAAAAAAAAAAAAAAGTATGAAAAGTATTCATATACTCAATCATCAGAAGAATATATAGAAAATTAAATTTTCTCATTCTTTCAGTTCACATTAATAGTTTTCTATAAAAACTGTGTTCGATATCACAATCTCCAAAAACAACATTTGAGGAAAAACTTAATTAAAGGCTAATACCTGCCCAAACGCATTTGCTTAACAATGCATCTTAAAGTAAACACACACTTTGAGTCTCAAGCTCACACACACACACACACACACACACACACACACACACACACACACACTGACCTTGACTCCCAGTCCAGCCGGGGTGAGCTGCTGGTTGTTGCGTTCGTTGAGGCCGTCCTCCCCCATCAGAGAGGTGAGGTGCTGCAGACAGTCAGCGTGACCCTGACAGGCCGAGATGTGCAGAAGGTTGTTCCCGTCCTCGTCTCTGATCAGCTCCAGGTTGTCTGCCGCCAGGTGAGGCTGCAGGAGGAGGAGAGGGAAAAACAGTCAGAGGTGAGAGGAGAGGTAAAGGAGGAGTAGAAAAATAAGAAGAGGTGGAGGAGGAGAAAAGGAGGAGAAAGAAGAGGTGTTGATGTTAGAGAAAAAGAGGATGTTAGATCACCCACCTCCCCACCTCCGCACCTCCCCTCTGATGACCTCCCACTCACCAACAAAGAGATCTGTCCCTCTCTGACGATGTTGATGATGTTCTGGTTCTTCTTGGTCTCCTCGTCCACCTCCCCTCCTGCTCCTCCACCTCCTCCGAACCCCCTCGGCCCACCGCTGCCTCCGCCTCCACCTCCACCTCCCCCTGGTCCAGGAGCCCAGGACTTGGAGGAGTCCTGCCTGCCCACGCTGCACCCTGGCAGGGGGAACATCATCCCCGGGCCCCCTGGAGGCTCCACGCCCGGCCTCTGGCTCTGGGAGTCGGGGTAGACCCGCGCTGACAGAAGCTTGTCTGGAAGACATCATCCAAACACGTCACATCATATGAACTGTGTCTCTGTCCACTGAGACAAACAGAGAAGAAGAAAAGCTGACGGTATCTTTAAGTCGTACCTGCATCAGAGAAAGAAGAGAGGGAGGAGGAGCAGCTGAGGAGTCCAGAGGACAGCAGCTCCGACTGGTAGCCTCCTCCAGCCGGGGAGCGGTGGAGGTGGTGGAGGTCTGGATCCATGGACTTGGACTTCCTCAGGTCGGACCACTTCACCGGAGACAGAACACAGTACTGCAGGAGACACATCAACATTACCAGCACTGATCTACAGCCTACATACATCAGTAATAATAAAATGAACACGTGGCCATGTGATCAGCTTGTTTTCCATTTTGGGTATGACAAGTTGGGGAGGACACACAGACGCACCAGCTGTGTCCCAGCAGGACGCTGGTAAAAATTATATAAACACGCTTTTGTTTGTCAGTGTTTAAAAAAACAAAACAAAAAACATTTCAGATCGAACCAAGCACGAGTGGTGTTCATCCTCCTGTCAGTCCCACAGAGCCAGTTAACTGCCAGCTGTGACAGAGAGCGTGCGTCCATGTGGCGGCTCAGTTTTAAGGTGAGTAATACTTAGATGTTGGTCAGATTATGGTCTAACAACAATTCTCCACCTCAGCCAGATTTACTGCTGCGCCGCAAGCCCATGCTGACTCACTGTTGTGTACACAAGCTGAGACCTGATGTGAGATCTGATCATGGCAACGGCTCACGTCCACATCAATACAAGCCAAGCTTTGTGTGGAAATGACCATACGCCCAGTTTACCATTGAACTTCCTTTCGAAAATGAGTCCACTGTGTGAATCTTGGAGCTCTAACACTGCATTTCCTCATTTATCAAACATGTTTTAAAGCAGTGGTTCCCAACTGGTGCCGCCATGTATCCAGATTTCTCCTCAGTCATTAGTTTAAGCTCCACACAGATTAATACATTCGGCATCACACTTGCGTTTGGCCATGTCGTCAAGCTCATTAATTAGCTGTCTGTTATTTATTCACCCTACAGCAGGAAATGGCACTTCAAAATAAAGGCTCTGTGCTGAAAATCGACTGTACTTCAAAATAAAGTGTGTTTTTTACAAACTTGACACGTGTACAAGGCATTTGCGGTGCATTCAGAATGGAACTATAGACCCAATTTTGGACTGAGACCCACCAGCTGGGAACCCGTTTTAAAATATTTTAAATCCTACATTGTTTTCATCCATGTTCACTGGCATGCAGTCTTCCTCTTCCCTGTCTTTGCTGGTGCATTGCTGCGTTTCTAGGTGCCTAACTGGCAAAATTTGCAAATTAACACAGCGTCACAACTTTTTTGTAATTGGGGGTTGTACTTGGGGATGATATAATTTTACCAAATATTTACAGTTCATGTGTAAACATCAATGCTTGTATTTATTTACAAAATTCTGCAAATGTTCAGCTGTGGTGCCACATTATCAATTTTTAAAAATCAATTTAAGTCTTGTCGACAGCAGCTGACCAGTGAAATATTATTTTGCAACTAGTGAGAAACTAGAAGCAACAAGTGGTCACGATACTTGTAACTTGCAACTTGTCTAAATTAAGGTCTGGTATGACAATTAAATATTATCAAACTGTGTATTCTAGTCTTCCAAGTCTTACTAAGAAAACTACCTTAACAGTTTATTAAACAGTGCTTAGTTTAGAGATCCGTATACAATAATTTACACATTATTTTTCCTACTATGGGGCTCTGTAGACCAATTCACAATTAAAAGTATTAAAGAATATGTTAACAAGTTGATGGACATGTACCTGAGTCTGTGAGCTGCTGCTGCTCAGGCTCAGAGGCTCGTTATGGGGTAAAGCGGAGCTCTTCAGCCCTCCTCCTCTGGTCCTCTCCAGGGTGCCTCCGCCCATGTTGTTCCCCGTCACCGAGCGCTTGTCGTGGGGGACGCGAGGCAGTGTGGACATCTGCTGACTGGACTTGATATAAGGCACGTCCAGGATCTCGTCCATGTCCAGGTCGTAGTGCTCCAGCTCCCCGAACAAAGCCTGGGGGTTGTTCCCTCCGACGACCCCAACGCTGCCACCGCCAACGCCCTTCACCTTCCCTCCCGGCCCCTCAGAGGAGGTGGAGGCATGAGTCTGTTTGTCAGAGCTGGGGTCATCCTTACTGGCCTCCCCCGGCTCCCCCTGCCCCGGCCCCTGGACTTTACCGTCAGAGTCGGAGTCGGTGGTCTCTGGTTGGTGTTTGAGAGGGGAGACCCTCTTCACCGGCCGGAACTTACTGTGGACCTCAGCGAGCCCCGTGGGTTTGATACCGCCGCCGCTGTGGGAGGAAACACTGCGACTCCAGTTGATGGCTGGAGCTGTGAGGAGGAGAGGTGAGATTATATAGTTAACTTTCACAGAGATGGAAACAGACCCTGTTGGAGTGTAGTGCATAGAGCAGGTGTTATGCACCGTCAAAAGAAAGTAATACTTAGTTACCCGGTCTCTCCTCGGCCTGGCCATCACTCCTCCTGGACAACTCTGGGATGCTCTTCAGAGACGTCACAGAATACTGCAGGAAGAGAAAGAAAATCAGAGAGATGTCAGAAAACAGCACGCAGCGGCCCTGCAGCTGTGCAAAGTGGTTATATTTAGATATTAGTTAATTGTAGTAGTTGTTACGTTGCTCTAAGTACAGACAGATTGTAGCATGAGGCAGAACTAGGTTACAGCTGTGGACACACTGCTAGTTTATACACCGAGCGAAAACTACATCCTGCCTTCTAGAGGTGCTGATTCAACATCAACAAGTCAAGATTCAACTTTACTTGAGACAACACTTTTTAATTCTACCACACGGTGATCATAAACCCTTGAATATAAAAACGACTCACTAAAATCGGTTGAGAAATACAAATGTTACAGTGATTTTTATCCAGAAAAAACTCAGCTTACATATCACTTGTATTTGATTACAGGCAAGACGTGCCTTCTCCAATATGGCAGCAGCACTGACACAGCTGCAACGGGCCGACACAGTCGATGCTGCGTCTTCAGTGTTGGTTCACATGCTACTTGGAAAATGTAGTGAGCTCAGCTACCAGTTACTCTACATCAAAATTGAGTTTCACTACATTGAAGCTATGCCCAGAGAAATGTAGCAGGCTAAGCTAGGAGAAAATGGCAAAAGTACCTTGTTACTTGCAAAGCTACTTTTATTCTTTTACTCTATGTCACGTCAGCTTTATCGCAGTGATCAAACAAACAAATAGGCAGCAAAAAATGTCCAGTTAAAGTGATAACTATAACACAACAGACTTAAAAGTTTTATTTGTTTTTTTTTGAAGACTTTGTGACATTTGAACATGTCCTCCAATAACTTGTATCTGGCTCTGTCACTCATTCAAAAACAATTCCAAAATATAATTTTCAGGCAATAAAACTGAGACAGTAATATAAACTATAAAAATAACAGACTTAAATGAAAACTGTTCTTGTTTTGGGACATTAGGACATGAACATGTCCTGCAAATGACAGTGTGTGTCACTCTGTCTCTCAGCTCTTTCCTTTGCCCTTGTTGTGTCTATTTCTGTGTCCACTGCAAATTCACTATACAGTCAATGGACAAGACATGTGAGAGGCGTGTCAGGTGCAATGTAGTCTCTATATACAGACTCTACATTCAGTGAATGTAGAGTCTGTAGGCAAACCCCGGAGATCTTGCCTCCGGGAGCGCAAGAGCCCTGGTTTCCAGTTGTAGGCTGTTTGTGGTCCGCGTGATATTGACCAATCATGTTTGAGCCGACTGCAGTTGTTGCCAGGTTAAACAGTCTGTGCGGTGAACTAACGAGGCGGAACATAACTGGCGTCACTGCAAACAAACATATTTACTTATATATAAACGCAAGTCGGAAACGGAAATTCGCCTCCTCCGCCCAAATCAAACCGGAATGCCAAAAGATCGGGGGTCTGCCCCCAGAGGCTGTATCGCCATCTGCCGGAAGTCAGACGCCAAATACAGCAGATGGGTTCTGAGAATGTGAGCACTGTAGCCAATGAGGGCTGGTCTTGCCATGAAAAGCCAATAGCAAAGCAGCAAGCAGAATAAACTGAAGGATTAGCATGTGATGTCATACAGAAGTGCTTCCCTCATGTACATGCCTCAGTGTGGTGCCGGCATCAGTCACATGACTTAACCTCACTGTTATTATCCTGACTTTTATCCAGACCTCTGCAGAAAAACAGCCTGCTGCACTTCACAGCTTTTCCTGGGAAAAAGAGCTTGTAGCTTTGTGGATGCTCACAACACTGCGTCTTCGTTTATATGTCTATGCTTACATGTGTCTGGAAAAGTGGTGGTTTCAGGTGGAGGTGAGGATGTTGCAAGCGCAGTCTGGCCCTGCTATAGACTCTAAATTTAGGATACTCTCACCCTGATTCACAGGATGAAGCTTAGAGACATTGTTAGTGGACTCTACCATCAGTTAGGAAGGTGCAGCCAGCAGCTGTTAGTCTGTTTATATCATACTGACCACTGAATCATCAGAGAAGTCGATCTCATCAAGGTCCAGGTATTCAGGAGCCTCCATCTTCACACCACATCATCAGCCTCACAGCCAGCTGCAGACAGAAACACACAGGTCACATTATTACACTGTCATACACATACACACTCCTGTTCTTGTTTTGTAAGTTATTTAAAGGGTCTGACCTTGAAGAGAGTCAGTCTACAGATGTGCTGGTGACCACTGAGGCACTGAGGCCATAACAGCCTTTGTTTGTAGCATCTAAACCATAAATATGATAAAGACAAACACTGTTGGACATCAACGTTGGGGAGATATGATCAGCAGGAATAAAACACAGGACGTAGCTGCAGGAAACTGGAAACAGTCCCGCTGAAAACTTGTGTTAAAGTTTCTTTTTCTAACCCAGATGACAAACTGTTGCTCAGCGAATAAAGAGGAAACTGTGGAAATAACACATCGGACTTTTATTCTTAAGGAGGAGTTTCGCTCTTACCAACTAACAAAGGGGCTGTATGTTAAACCTGCCCTTTGATTTGAAAATCTAATCCTTTCCTGCTCAGTAATACCACAGATTTAAAACTGTTTAAAGCCCTCGAAAACTGTCAACTGCACCAAGTGCCTAAGTAGTTGTGATCAAAGGCAACGAACAGCATGATAATCAGGACCGATCAGAGAGCAGCGTGACTCGCAGCGCCCACAGAGGTTTAAAGACGCAACCTGGAAAAACACAAGCAAGAGCAGACTCTGCTGCGTATGACAAATGACACCGAGAATACTGAGCTTCTGTTTGTAATTACACTGCAAACAATCAGTCTGAGAGTCATTCAGTAATTCATGATAATCACACTCTTGTTTCGGCGGTTTAATCATGCAAAACCTCTCCGCTGCTTTTCTTTGTTTGATAGAAATTGGGTTTTGCACTTTTAATCAAACACAAAAAGAGAATCCGAGGACGTTCCGGGAAACCGTGCCGAGTTGTTTTCACTATTTTCTGAAAAAATAATCCACGGATTAATCGATGGCAGCTCTGAGAGGATCACAAGAATCAGCTACAACTGCAGCTCGGCCCTGCAGACCTCTCACGTCATCAGGTGGTTCACCTACAATGAGATCCAGATGTGCTGCGGGCGCTTTAAGTTACTATAGTCCTGTTCTCTGGAACAGAACACAGGCTGACCTGAGATCCTCCCCTGCAGTAATCAGTGACGAATCGTGATGTTTAAACAGCGTCAAGACATGATCAAAGTCACAGCGTGCTGCTGCCGTTCTTTGGTTTTAGTTGGAGGTGTTATTTTCCAGGCTGTGTCGTATAGCGTTTCTCGTCTTTCCACCACTCCCTGTACATTACATACATTCTGAGGAGGTTTCTTTATGTTTTGAAACTTCCATTCACGGCCACAGGATGTTCAGAGAGCTTTCATGTCAGAGTGGAGCTGTTTTCAGACTGTGTGGGAGCGACCGCAGAACTAAACGGGTCAAAATAAAAACCTCTGATTGCAGCTTTGAGAAACAGTCGAGCCTAACATCCTTGATAACAACAGTTTAGGCCTCGAAAATAAGACTGGATCAAAAAAAGAAGAAGGAGGAGGAGGAAGAGGAGGAGGAGGAGGATGTCGGCTTTCTGTGTTTATATGAACAGCTGACGAGCCTGAATCCTTCCAGGCAGCAAGTCACGAAAACAATCAGTGAGACGAAATGTTTTGTTTTGGAGCAAAGCTGAGAGACAGGGACGGGAGTTTTCAGGAGGAATTTGGGAGAGATTCAGTTCCTCTTTCTACACACTGAAACGAGATACGTGTTCCTTCACATTTCCCTCAGAGGTCAGGTGGAGCTGCGAGCTGAGTGAATCCACCTTCTCATGGTCGGATGCACGTTGTCTCGTCTATAAGTAGACATGTAAAAATAAGTTGTGGGTTTAGCGTCAGAGCTCTGGATGCAGCATCTCGACATTCGTGAGCTTATTGTGAGGCTGCCAGGTTTGAGCTCTGTCCTGACTTTTAGAATAGACTGCTAACTAGCTTAGTGAGCTAACAAGTTAAAACATGTAAGTGAGACACGTCCTGAACACTGAGAAATGTAACTGATACCGACCTTCTTATCTGACTCAGAGTGACGTATAAAAACTGCTGCTCCTTTAAAGGGTCAGTTCATCCAAATTATGAAGAGACAACACCCACCCGAACAACAGGAAGTTCAACCTGCTGCCGTCTGACAAGTGATACAGATCTACCTGCTGCCATACCAGCAAACTACAGAGCAACTTCTTTCCTCCTCAACTCCAACAACTCTGATTATTTTGTTCTTGTTCTGTCTGAAGGGGTTGATATGTTAAAGCTGACCATGATAAATATCACAGACGCTGACGGCTGTAAACTGAACTTTTATTTTCTATGATTAATAAATAAAAAATAAGAAGGACTGATGAAACAAGTTGAAAGAGGCAACTACTTGTAACGTGCCGTTCTGCAACGTTGGTTGTAGCTTCTTAAAATCTGAACAAGGATAGTGAGAGTGAAAACCAACAAAACCAGCATCAGATGGACTGTACCCATAATCAATACGCCACAATAATATAAATAACCAGCGCCAATTCATAAGTCAATGAGTGTGTGTGTGTGTGGGCGGGGCATAAGCAGGTAGGAAACAGAGGGTTCAGTGGGGACGGAGCACCTGCTGCAGCAAACCAACACGCCGTCTGCAGCCATTTTGTCTTGACCAGTGGACTTCACTACAAGCTGATTGGCTGTTGAAACAGGTGACATGCTTTAAAACCACCCGCCGACCATTTGACCAGCTGAGTGTCAGGTGACATCATCAGCCGGCTTGAGTCGAGCTCAGACCGGCCAGTTCACACTGCTGACACTTTTCTCTGTGATGTTCTAAAACTGTTTCATCTCGTTGCAAATCTTTGGTCTGAACTGAAGCTGCTAACAAAGTTCCGCTAATTCAGTGATAAACACATTTCATTTCCTGTAGATTCTTCACAATAAAAGCCCCCTTGTTATTTTGTTACGTAAAAACTTTTATTGTGAAGCAGCAAAATAAGGAAATGTTGAGCTTCTAAACAGGAACTTCACACAACGTCTAATCTGACCGATAGCGAACATGAAACAGTGAAATAAATCAGATACCTAAAGTAAAAACAGGACGCAGGAGAGAAACTAAACTCCAAAGCACCGCAAAGAGATTCAGTTAGAAGCTACAGACGTACTGAGAGCTGAACAGACAGAGACTTTTAAAGACGCCTTTCTCTCTGGTCTCCTGCAGACAGAGCGGAGGAGAGTCTTGCTACAGGCACAGCTTTTGGGCCTGCTCCAGAGAAGGTCCATCTCTGGCCATCTGTAAACTGATAATGGAAACGCAACTCGGCACGGCATGGCTTGAGTCCGCGTGGCCAAAAGTGACAGTGGAACAGGCCCATAACAATATAACTGTGACCCTCTAAATGACTTATCAGCCTTTATAATACTGATGATTTCTCTAACTGTGTTAAAGTACATGATGCTTCAGACGGCAGAGACAGTGTGACGTTCAGGTACTGATACAGCAGTGTCTTTGGACGTACAGTGTGCACACAATACAGAAAATAACCAGTGGAAAACAAACAGCATCTTTGCCTAGAAACTCAAAACCGTGTCTTCCCCTCTGCTGAGCTTTCTCCACCTCCTCAAACAGACGCCGTCACTGTCACCATCAGCCAGTTGGAGGCTGCAATTCAGACGACATGGAGACCTGATTACAGACACTGAGACCTGCAGACTGGACAGCTCTGTGGCTTCAATTTTTTATTTCATTCAGTCAGATGTCACTGTGTTAATCCACGTTTACAGGTAAACTGCCATTAAGACTGATTTTAGACTCAACATAGAAGCACCTGATGTTTTTTTGGTACATGTCCTACTTGTTAAAACTTTACTTTACTTTAAAGGGTGAGGCGATACTTCTGGCGCTCTGTTGACGATAAATGAGGTAAAGACTTCCCTCTGTGTTACAGGTGAAGAGCCAGGAAATACAGGCCCCTTTTACACTGCCAGATTTTCGGCGAATGTTGGGCCGTTTTGCCGGCAAGCTGCGAGCGTTTAGACACACAGAGCCGGATTAGCGAGTTGATCCAAGGTGCCTAATTTTCCACCTCGTAGGGTAGACATATTGGTGGAACCCTTTTGGTTTAAACAGGCCTTCTGCAACAAGAGGGGCTGTTGATGACTTGTGGGAGGAGCTGTTGATGACGCCACACATGCGAGCCACTGGCGGTGGATAAACAGGAAACAGCTGATAGCAGGAATTAGCGAGCAGCTAGTAGCAAGAGGGAAACACAAACCTGACAGACGCTGTAAAGATGAGCAACTGGGGAGACAAGGAATTGCGCGCCCTCCTTGTCCTCGCAAACGAAGAGGCCATTAACCGTCAGATAACGGGGATGGTGAAGAACGGGCCGACTTATGAGAGAATCGCCGAAGGACTGACCAGCCGCGGCTTCCCTCCCACGTCACTGTTTACGTCACACGCTGAGCTACACGTTTTGTTACTTGCTCACGCCCCCCATTGCCCTGAAAAAGGCACATTCTGTATAAACAAAAGTAGGTAGGCGGCATTTTGCTGCACTCCCGATTTTGTTTTGATACTGCCAATGCTGAAAAAAGACTGATTGGGCTTTCCTGCAAATTTGCACAACTCCTGTTTAAAAAGGGCTACAGTGAGTGCTGGACGGAGCAGTGAGTGACAACAATCCCGCCCACATTTAAGGGTACTGTGTGGTGGAAACGCTTAACAGACCAAGGGTCTAGGTACCATATCTGAAGGGTTACTTTTGGTTCCAAAGGAACTGTACTGAATGTGTTTGGTGGAAACAGGGCTTAAAATACTACAAGTAAAAGTCCTGAATCCAAAAGTAAAAGCACAGAAGTGCTGTCAGCAAAATGTAGGCTACTCAGAGTGTAAAAAGTAAAGTTTCTGGCTGTGATTAAAGGTCTAATTTTGGTGATATCTTTAATGCCTACCAAACCCGCCCATTTGAAGGACATGTTTTCTTTAAAAATCAGCAGTTAAATAAACACAAACACAAGCATTTAAAACTGTATGACGCCGCCCTAAGAAAAAATAATAAACATCACTCCCTCCTCTGTGTTTAAAAAAAATAATCTGACATGTCTCCCCCTTTTGGCACCACCTTACCCCCTCATAGGTAATGAACAGTCCCTTACTTATGTAAAAAGTAGAACTACCAAAGTCTAAAATGCTACAAGGAAAAGTCCTGAATCCAAAATGTTGCAATGTAAGTATCATCAGCAAATTGTAGGCTCCTTAAAGTGTAAAAAGTATACATAAATATATGATAAATGGTGTAATATTGGTGATCTTTAAAGAAAGCACTCCTTCCAAACTGGCCGGCATGTTTTCCTTAAAATTCTGTGGTAAAATAAATACAATATACAACCATTTAAAGCTCAACAATGCTCCTCTGAAGACAGAAGTTGCTGCTGTTTAGCACCACCTCCTGCCCTGTCATAAATAAGGAACAGTCCCTTAAAGAGAAGCTTTAAGCACTGGAGGTAATAAGGTAAAAAAAAATCCACATGATGTCAGTTTAGGTGTGTATAATTATATATTCATAACAGCCCAGTTATGAGTTAATATCTAAGGCTGTTACTGTGATTTATTTGTACTTATAATTTCTGTTCTGCTGACAGAGATGAGGGAAACATTATATATAGTGAAAGAAAAATATCTGCAGGCTGATGGAAGTGAAATAAAACATCATCTCAGATCAACATGTGTCTGATTCTGTTTCATTTCCCCGAAATTAATAACAATACTTTGCCATATTAATGTGTTGCAGTGTGAGAAGTGTTGGCAGACACACTTACAGCTGCTAATGAAGAAATAAAATGTCTGTTTTACAGAATGAGAGCAGTGAAAGTGACTTCAGGTGCTCTCTGCTCTCTTTAGCTGATCTAATCCGCTCATACCTGCTCATCCAGCAGCAGGAGGCTAATTAGCTTAAGCTAGCTCAGCTAATCAGCATCCAGAGAAGCTAATGTGGAAGCTAGCTGCTAGCCGGGCACACACTTGGAAAAATAGGTCAGAACAGAGAGCTCAGGTGAAAACGACCCCGGGCCCCGGGATAAAGAGCCGTTATCTCCCGGTTAACGGACAGTTTGGTGTTACGGTACCTTATGGAGGTCAGGCAGCCGAGGAGAAGGAGGTGAAGGAGCTAGCTGAGCCGCTAGCTGCACTGATCCTCGGATCCAGCTGTTTTTTTTCCTTGTGTCGCCTCGCTGTCTTGAAAAGCACAAAGACTTTGACATATGGGCAGCAGAGATGGAGCAGGCGACACGAGGGCTCACTCTGAGCACGTTTCTGAGGACCAGATCAGTCAGACAGAGGGGAAGGACTACAGTTTTACATCTACAAACAGGCTTTATGTGTGTTATAGTGTCTGTTTAATGTTTATGTAGAGTTTGGAGGATTATTAAAACACAAATACCAGTGATTAAAGAAGTGTGCAGATCCTTCAGTTAAGTAAAAGTAGAAATACCCCTACTAAAAGTCCTGAAGCCTGAAACCATTTATCAAAATCAGAAACTGTTTAAACAGAAATTATCGTTGTTTATTGTTAATAATTATTCTGTTCCTAATGTCAGTACAACCTTTAGTGGTTCTTTTAGCGATTACACCCCCCCAAAAAATGGAACACCCTGCCTTTAATTATTAGCGGACAGTTTTAAATGACGACTTAAAACATAGCCTATCCTTTTAACATAGCCTATAACTAGCAGCTAACTGTTAAAATAGTCAGTATATTTTTGTATTTTGTATTATTAATTATTGATTGATAAATGTATGTATTCTTCTCTTTTCTCCCCGAATGAGTGTTGTTTAATTGCATGGTTTTATTTCCTTGCTGTTTGTGCTGCAGTTTGTGCATGAAATGTGCTATGTAATATAAATAACGTTCATTCATTCATTTATCGTTGGATTTCAAATTTCCGATGGCCCGTAGACCCATCATGTGTCACGAACGCTTCCGTCAGACAAACAAACATATACATCACCAAATCGGAGCTTAAAATGGTGATATTTAATCAACGTCACTTTACTCTATGTCTTAGGCAAGGCAAGTTTATTTGTAGAGCACAATTCGTACACAAAGTAATTCAAAGTGCTTTACAGAACAAGAAAATTCATCAAAATCACAATACAAAATAAAAACATAAATAATCATTATAAAATGAACTTTAAAAGAGAAGAGTGCAGATAAGATCCTTTCAGTCATATGCACAGTGAAATAGAGCTGTTTTGAGCCTAGATTTGAACATTGTCAGAGTAGAGGCCTGTCTCACATCTTCAGAAAGACTGTCAGATTTTAGCTGCATAAAACTGGAATCCTGATTCCCCATGTTTAGTCCTGACTCTGGGCACCAGCACGAGGCCGGTCCCTGAGGTCCTCAGGGTCCGAGATGGTTCATATGGCACTAACATGTCAGAGATGTACTTTGGTGCTAGGCCGTGGAGAGACTTGTACACAAGCAGAGCTGCTTTAAAGTCTATTCTCTGAGCCACAGGAAGCCAGTGTAGAGACCTGAGCACAGGACTAATGTGCTCGTACCTCCTGGTTCTGGTCAGGACCCGAGCAGCAGCATTCTGGATGTACTGCAGCTGTCTTACGGCCCGTTTGGAGAGGCCAGTGAGCAGGCCGTTACAGTAGTCTAACCTACTAGAGACAAATGCATGGATAAGTCTCTCCAAGTCAGGTTTAGACACTATACCTTTGATTTTGGCGATGTTTTTTAGATGGTAAAAAGCTGCTGATGTTATTGATTTGATGTGGCTGTTAAAGTTCAAGTCTGAGTCCATTATTACCCCGAGATTTCTAACCTGATTTGTAGGTTTTAGAGAGAGAGACTGGAGGTGACTGCTGACACTTTCTCTTTGTTTCTGTGGACCAAATACGATGACTTCAGTCTTGTCTGAATTTAGCTGGAGAAAGTTGTTTTGTTAATAAAATTTGGCCAAAAAAACACAAGAGTGAAAAACTGGGGCTTTTTTCAGATATAACAAAATCTGAACAATTTAAAAACAAAATGTTTGCACAAACTAACGTGCCAATAATTGCACTTAAGAAGCGACAGCATGTGGAGCTTCTTTCATGTTGTTTATTGCTATCCTTTTGCTTTAAATGGTTTTTGAATGTGCAGGACATTTTTCACAACTTTTATCTTTCTAACTTCAAAGGATTGTAAGATCTCTAGCGCCCCCATTTTGTTTGATGGGGTCAATAATGGAGGGGTCCCCTCAGATTATGTGTGGTCATATGCCTACAAAGTTGCGTGGTGATGGGTGAAACCCTTGAGATGTTATACACCTTTATGTGATGAGCCACGCCCTCCGCAATATTCATTGCCTTATAGAAGCTCAGTTTTAGTAAGTTTTCCAACTTTTGCCAAGAGGGAACTTTAGATATTGGTCCCTAGATTATGTTCACCCAGTTTCATGCAGATCGCTCAAACTTCCTAGGAAGAGATCCATTTGAAGTGTTTTTCAAAAAATTCAAAATGGCGGAAAATCTATATAAGCGGAAGTTATGGGTTCTTGAGGCAAATGTGTTCCTCATGAGGAGAGGCATCTCTGTGCAAAGTTTCATGTCTCTACGACATACGGGGCATGAGATATGCCCATTCAAAGTTTGACATTTCAATCGGTTGCTATAGCGCCCCCCTTTGGCCAATTGATGTAATATTGCTTCATTGGCATCCTCCCATGACCCTCTACCACTGTGCCAAATTTCACATGGATTGACCAAGTCAGTGAGGAGAAAAACATGAAACACACACACACACAGAGTTTTCATCATTATATAGTAAGATGAAGAAAAATACAAGAATAAAAAGTGTTCAACTTTTCAAACTGCAAACATTGATTTTTTTAATTTGATGAGTATTAACTGTAAGAATCTTAATCATAATATAATATCAGCCACAGTATTTTCTTCAGCTATTTTTATCGCAGCTCTGTGGACGGTGAAGCTGCAGTACCTCATGTGACCTGTCAGACTGAGAGAGTTTCCTGTGGGTTCCTGGTGGTTCATCGTGTCAATAGACGATCTGTGCAGAGGAAGTGGAGCCGTTACATGAGTCCATTATCCTTAGAATAAAGACTACAATAAACTTGTGCACAGAGCAGGATTTACTGCTTATTCTAACATGTGTACATTCTGAAATGAAGGGAATTATAATTACTATGTTTTATTTTATTCTATTTAACAACGTGTCTTTATTTCTGACCACAGTTATAATGTTATGGGCTGTTTACATCAGGGAAAGGACGATAAAACTGAGAATTAGGTTATATAAAGACAAACCACAGTTAATCTGTCTGCGTAAAAAGCTTTTAAAACAAACTTATTTGCTGTTATAAGTGTTTGTAAATGACTTTGGAGACCTTTGGTTTCATTTTATTGAGGAAAAAATGTCTTTTAATCCTAGTTACAGTTGCTATGTGTTTGATAATGTATAAATTTGACTGTATCAATATCTAAATATTAGATTCAGGGTCCGGAGGCTCCGTTCATCCTCCAGAATTAGACATTTGACGTCACACACTGAGTTACATAACTCTGAGTGTGTGAGGGAGACAAACACAGGAGCAGCTCCACACACACGTCTCTATAAATGTCCTCTGTGTTTCCATAATAACAGCCTGTGGACCTCTGCTGTGGTTTAACGCTCATCAGCTCACGTTCACCTCATCAGCGCCACCTGGTGGCTCAATCTGAAACTACAGGCTTGTCAGAGACAGGAGGGCACTTAGTGTCTGAACAGTTAAAGCTCCATCAGTAACATTTCTCTGAGTGTTGGGATTATGAAATACATTAATGAACCTGTCTCGTTTATCTGCTTTGGTTCAGTCTGGGCAAGAGTTTTTAAGTGTGTTACAGAGAGAGCGCTAAAAGATAAAATCAGAGGGTGGAGTGACTAAAAATGTGTAATCACAGCAGTGAGAGCTGTAACTGTGAGGAAAAATAAAGTTTATAAACTTTACAGCCTGCTTCTGATTTCAAATGAAAAAATTCTGTGCTGCTCCAGGACCCAAAAAAATCTAAATAAACAAGAAACATTTATTTACAATGAATTCAGTTCTGCCTTTACTTTGCAAACGTAGTATTAATTAGTATTAATTTCCAACCATAATTCATGGCCTAATCTACGATAGAAGACAGAGTCCTCTATACACTCTCATGCAGGAGGACGACATCACAACACAATATAAAATCATATTCAAAACAAAGAACACGATATTACACTAATATTGATCCAAAAATGTTTCTAAAAGTCTGCATTTACAGTTTCACACATTTAAATTTCTCTCAGGCTTTTTTGTCTGCACCTGTACAACGATAGAATAAATCTCATGTTTTGTTTTGGGATGCACTGACCTGATCAGCTGGATCGGTATCTGCACAGGTGCTGAACGTATTAACTGGATCAGGAATCAGCCACATATTACAGTTCATAATTAAACACAGTTTTCTTGTCCACTACATTTGATTTGCAGCAGTGACGAAAAATGCATAACACTGTCACCACTTCCTGCAAACCATACTGTGAAGTTTTGACGATGACCTTTGCCACCAGCTAAAGACCAGTTCAGACTAAAGACTGGCGACGAGATGAGTTGCAACAGACAACTACTTGCAATGTGCCGTTCTGCTGATGATGGCGCTAGATTAAAACTCACCCAGGTCATTAAGATTAATTCTGACGGGAACATGAAGGATGAACCACATTTTATCACAATCCATCCAATAGTTGTTGAGATATATCAACTAAAATCACAAATGTGAACCTCATGGTGGAGCCAAAGTCAGTATGATTCACCCTCTGGGGAACATGAACGCACAAGATGTGTTTTTTGCAAAATGGCTATCCATCTAGTGCTTATTGACATTTGTCAGTCCAACAGACAGACACTGCTGTCCAGAGCCCTGTTTCCACCAAGCAGTGTGGTCTAGTTTATTTCAGTTCGGTGAACATTTTTTCTGTTTCCACTGTGAAAAGTTGTTGATGGTACCAAGAGAACCGTTCTGTACCGACCCCACTTTTGGTCCCTGTTTGCCTCAAAAGACCTGAATGAACAGAGATAAATCAGCTGCACAGTGTTCAGTCATTCACTGGTTTTCAACAGTGTAGATGTTGTAAGCTGCTTTCTTCTTCTTCTTCTTCTTCTTCTTCTTCTTCAAGTGTCCTAATGTCAGCTGTATCATGAACTATCCATCGGCTCCTCCTCTTGGTCTCCCTGACACATAGCTGTATGATCCTGTTGTCAATTAAGATCCATTCCTTCAGGTTCATCTGTTATTGGACACTTTTTTACCTTTTTTGAACTCTCCTGTGTCGGCTCTCTGTCTTCTTCCTGAGGCCTCTTCTTACCAACTATCTGTTGATGATCTACATGAAACTCTTTCACTTGTATATGTTGATGTTTTCCTCTTCTTTTTGCTTTCTTTATAGGTCTTACATCAATCTACAACGGCTGTGTGTCCTGACACTCAGCTCCTCTCTCTGAGAGACTCTTAAAGAAGTCCTGTATCTGCTCTGTGACGTCTTCCTTTACGTCCAGTTGTTGTTGCACTGCCTGCTGCTGTCCTTCCTGTCTGACCTCATTGACCTCCTTTGGAGTTTCAGTAATGTCAGCTCCTTTCTTTCTCCCCAACCCCTGTTTTCGTCTCTCTTTCCACGGTATCCATTCCCTGTTGGTGGATCTCTTTGGCTGCTCTTTGGTTTCGTCCATCTTTCTCAGAGATGTTTCTTGCTGTTGTTTCTCTGCCTGGAGCTCCTTCTCTTGGTTTTGTCCTCCAGCTGTGTCTTCATGTTCTTTGAGGTCTGGTGTCTGTGTTATTTCCCCACTGACTGATGGAGGCTTATCCTCTCTTCCATCCCTCTTTCCCTCTGTTTCCTCCACTTTCTTGTTAATGTGCTCCTCTTGTTTCTCTGCTTTACTTTCTGTTGTTGTAGTTACGTCCCTCTGATCTTTGTCTTT